TGCCTCTCTTCGTTGTCAGATTACTTTATTTATTTAATTAAAATGCAAGTGAGCTTACACATAGACCCAAAGCGCTCACATTGCCAATTTCAAATTTCATTTAATGTTAGTAAGTATCTACTTAAACTACTTATTTATGGTTAGTAGAGAAAAACATTCTTAATTTAATTACAAAATCACATGTATCAACTCATGCTGTTTATTTTCTTAATAAAGAAAAAGAAAAATAAAATAAAATACTCCAAGGAGTTGGCAAAGATGTCGACGTCTTGGACGGTTTGCGTAAACATTTTTCTTCTAATTAAACACCGAAAGTTACTACTAATCTTCTGCCATCCATTTTATCTTGTTCTTACAAACAAATCGTTTCTATTTCTGACTAATTGGCTGTCATTGTCTAATTAATTTTAATTTCACTGCTTATTTCAGTTTTTGGCTTGAACTACTATTTTAAACCTTAATAAATATTCGATTTATAATTCAACTAAAGCACTATTGCCTCGATAATTGAAAACTACATTTACTGTTTGTTACGAGAACCCCAACAGCAGTAAGAGCTAAAGAAAGTTAGAGCTTTTGAGGAACGATAGGAAATCCTGAACTATCTATCTGCATTTGTGTCTATTTAACGATTGTACAAACTCTCCTTAAATTAAACCACATAAAACGAAACTATAAACTGTCATCTAGTACCTAATGATTAAGTCCTAATAAACGTTAAATAAGATATTCTCAATTTAAAGTGCAAAACATTTCAAGTTATTGCGTAAGACCGCTATACTTTTTACCATTGCGACACCGGGCACTTCACGACACTTTTTATTATGCCTAACATTCATTCATACTCAAAGAAACTTTCATTTTCACCATTTACAACCATAATAAGTTATGGTAATAGTATCATTTATCAACCGTAAGATATTATTATGTACTGAGAATNACCGTGAGATATTATTATGTACTGAGAATGTTTTTTTATATTTAATATGATTTTATTGTGCAAATATTTTAATAGTTATTCTCAAGCATTGTCAAAGTTAGGTAAAGCTTGCCTCATCTTGAATTTCACTTGGATAATCGGTGATTCTATTCCATGAAATGCATTTTCACATACGAAATGTATTGCTTTCGCCCGCCCAAGAATGCATGTATGGAGTGGCAAAATGATCTCTGCGATTGTGTGTAGATGAGTCGCTGCTATGGCGGAGTGATCCATTGTTTGTACGTAATGCACGCGAATGTGAAGTTGTGTGAACTGCTCTGCATTGTTGCTTGGATGAATACAACTAATTTGTGGAAACAGTGCTTGTCAAACCGTAGATTCAGCTTTGGAAGAGCTCTAAAACCATACACTTGCCTTTTGATTGTCAAAAATATAACCTTCATTTAGAAATTGAGTTACTTATGGAAAGGCATTTTTCTATTGCTTCGAGTTACTTGTGGAAAGGCATTTTTCTTTTTATATTGCTTCTAGGTAAGCGTATATTTCTGTTTAGTATGTTAATCAATAAAGTATATCGATTAATGTTGCAGTTGTAGAAGGAAACTAGAATAGCTTACCTATTGCATTCTATTCTTCCCTTGCGGTCATATCAGTAATGTCCACAACAGTTTTAGTTAGTACCTACTATTGTAGAGACTTATGTACGAAAGATTGAGAACCGCTACAGTTCTCGTCGAGCCACCAACGAGAGTTCGTTCGGGTGGCGCTAATTGTTACGAAAGTGATGTTTTGGCAGCGCCACCTGAGAAAGCTGATCTAAATACAAATATTACGTACTCTGCTGGCCGGTGAGAATCTGCTAATAAGCGACTCTCTTGAAATAATACTTTTGTTCTTGTAAATCACTAGGTACATTGATTTAAATAACTACCTTCGTAGTAATAGGCTTTGATTAATTACTGATGAACATTAATTGGCTTGCATTTTTCGCTTTTAACAACCTAATAAATACTGGCAAAAAGTATACCGCATGTTAAGGGCTCTTACACACTTGTATTTCAAATGTCCATGTAAATGTTCTTTAATTGATTGACGAATAATTCTAAATAGTGGATACTTAGGCTAATATTTTAATCTGCTTGTAATGCCTGAAGTGTTTAGAAAACTGTGAAAGTAATGCAAATGATTTGCTAGGAAAACGAACAGTAGAGGACCAATACTAATCATTTATCTTCATACAATCTGCATACCAAATAAGGGGATACCTTTGATGTTTACTTTCGTCTATGATCTCAGATAGTCATGCATTTTCATTCTTCTAGCATGAATCTCACATTTTTTAAATATTTCTCTCTGTATTACATCGAGCGCAGTAATATGATGGCAGGCCATGTTTTCGATTATAACTACCATGTTACTGCTTAACGATAATAACAGTCATATCAACATATTTATCTCGATAATGGTCGAAATTGCTATGCTATAAAGAAAGGCTGAACCAACAGTCCCGCCTACATTGCATCACCGATGCGGTATAAATACCGAAGTCCGCTAATAAATCTAGCTATGCCGGCGCCTCCTCTGTATTTAACTGCATTTCTGAGCGCTTTCTTTTTCAATAACGACGGCGAAACTTTTATTAGATTCCTAATATGTCTAATATTTGGGCCTGGTGGATGAGTCATTAGCCTTATGCTTGTTAGCGAGGAACGTCTGTTACGCAATGTGTCGCCACTTCGCCAGCCATAACAATAAAGTCCTGCGCACGTAACTGGCATGATTCAGACCGAAAGTGAAAGTAGCACATTTCGAGCGAAGCCCTATCTGTGGTACCTACTTATGCTTGTAATAACTAACGCTGTAATAGGTACCTATACTTCATACTTTGGTTATAAGTATGTATTCCTACAAGATTGTTTTTGAAGATTGTGAGATCAGAGATGTCTTTCATTTAATGAAATTAAAGTTGAACATATTTATTGTCTCTTTAGAATAAAAAAGCAACTGGATTTTTAACTCCTTTGAATTAATTTTCACGTAAGATTTTACCTTTCAGAACGCGTGCGTAAGTTAAAGGACGACGTTTTATTACGCAAAGATTAAATACTACCGGAGTAAACTTTATGCATGTATGAGCTTAGTACAAAAATCTGCCTGCAAATTAACAAGACAATTACATCGATCAACAATAGGTCATCACATAAACTCTTGTTAACTCCTATTTTCTACTCGCCATATCAAAAACCTGACACCATACAATTTATTTTTAGTAATTCTGCAACTAACAGTTAACAATACGTATATAAATTGCAGACAAACGAATTGATTGCAATTATTCAGTTAATTAGCCTTGTCATGCTAGCTCGAATCAATAATGTTGAAGCTTAAAAGTTATGACAAGTTGACATGTAAATATGACTGTAATTTATGCTAATATTAATATGTAAAGTTAACAACACTGTCAATTTCTGGAATTATAATAATTAAGTTACCTAATGCAATAAATATTTCTACATAAGACGCCTTAAATCAGAACTGAGCAATAATTGTATTACTACCTTTGGCTACACTATAACGATGTCGAGTTCAAAGGAGTCTGCTCTGAACTGACAAATCGTCACGGAACGCCTATTGGAAAATATGTAGCAATGTAAATGTATTTTAGTAAACTAAGGATGTATTTTAGTAAAATTATGGTATATTTTGTTCTCAAACATATGGTATATTTGTTAGGTACTATTATATAAAAAGGATCTGTGGGTTTGGTTAGATCATAACTTGATGATCATGATCAGTATTTAATTCCAGAAAAGTTACAATTTTACATCATTTAAAGTATTTTATTTTCTATTTTTGTACTTAGTTCATGATGATAGCATAAACAGTACATAAATGGAATATTGCAGAGTGAAAAGAGTGAAAACTATTAATAATTTTCATTTTCCAGAATAAATTAATCTCGAGCTCGCACACAACTTCGCTCATTGTCAAAAATCTAACCTGATAATCCAATTTCATGAGTCATATTGTTAATTCATTCAAATAATCCGCATTATGCTAATTGGTAATATGTAAAGTTAACAACACTGTCAGTTTCTGGAATTATGATAATTACGTTACCTAATGCAATAAATATTTCTACATAAGTAAGACGCCTTAAATCAGAACTGAGCAATAATTGTGTTACTACCTTTGGCTACACTATAACGATGTCGAGTTCAAAGGAGTCTGCTCTGAACTGACAAATCGTCACTGAACGCCTATTGGAAAACATGTAGCAATACAATTGTATTTTAGTAAACTTATGGATGTATTTTAGTAAAATTATGGTAGGTATATTTTGCTCTCAAACATATGGTATATTTGTTAGGTATTATGTCTGTGGGTTTAGTTAGATCTTGACTTGATGATCATTATCAGTATTTGTTCCCAGAAAAGTTTTAATTTTACATCATTTCATTTTTTTATATTTTTGTACTTATTTGATAGCATAAAGTTTACGCCATGTGTATGCCATAAACAGTACATATTAAATGGAATATTACAGACTGAAAATAGATGAAAAACTATTAAGTGTAATTTAAATTTTCATTTTCCAGAATAAATCAATCTCGAGCTCGCACATAACTTTGCTCATTGTCAATAATCTAACCTGATAATCCAATTTCATGAGTCATATTGTTAATTCATTCAAATAATCCGCATGCAGCCCTACAAGAAACGCGACCACATCCGCAGCGGTGCGCCCGCGCCGATCCAATGTGCTCGGCTTGTACGTACTACACTTTCACTGGCTGGAAATAGGCTTCGCTGCAATTGTTTACGTCTTAATGCGCCTTTTAAGCCGTTTCTAGATGTATCCGGCTGATGTGGCGGTCGTTGACTCCTTTTCTAATACAACTTATGTCAACTCATTATTCTGATTATCTTTACGTAATTAGCCGTGTAAGGGTAAGCTATTAAACACAACATGAATGTTGACACTTTAGTTAAAGCAGGGATTTGGAGAAATGAAAAACAAACTTCATTGATTTATCACAACTTTACTTTTAGCAAAATATTGTCAAGGAAAAGAGCTTTCTAATTTCATAACACCACTTTAGTCCTGTCGGTCAGTAATCACCATAGTCAGGGATACCTTAAATAAATCAGCCTTGTTTCACAGCTTGGCTGTAGCTGTATGGCCTGATGGGGCTGCCCTTGCCCTGACTGTCGTAGAAGTTGACCAGCTGCTTCACGCTGCCAGGTCCAGGGGTCGAGACGGGGTTGGAAACGGGGGCAGGGTTGACTGGCACGGGTTTGATTTGGTTGGGGGTCTGAGGGACCACTTTTGGTGATGACGGCGCAGCGGGCTTGGGTACCGCTGGTGTGGGTGATACTGGCTTCGGAGTTGGAACGACTGCTGGCTTAGCCGTCACTGGGAGGTTGACTGGCGCAACAGGCGCCTTGGCTGGTGGAGAAGCAGGTGGCGAAGGTGCCCTGGCAGGCAAAGTTTGAGGTTGGCTCCCGGGTCTGGTACCACCACCGCCTTCCATGTTGATGAAGGCCAAATTCGCATTTTTGTCGATAGGTGGATATGTTTTTCGACCTGTAATAAAGAGTATTAATTTTACGCAAGATAGAAAATAATAACTTTAAAGTAGTTGAGATAATAATATTTATACAACAATATTACTTCTGTATGTCCTAAGTATCCATTAAATTTTCACGTGGTGGAAATCATGGCTAATGACATCGTTCAAACAAATTTTGTGACGGTCATTACCGGTCATCATTCTATCAACATAATAGGCATTCCACTGCCATTACTCCTCTGACATAAGTGCAGTTAGATGTGCGGTTTAGTAGATGTTAAGTAACAGTTAAATACTACGATTTCCCCGCTTCAAATAAAAAAACAGAGTTGCCATAAATATCTCGCGTAAACACATGCTTCTAAACGGTTATAATTTTTACGACCGATTGCGATTCTGTAGCATCGTCAACCGGCAAGAATTGTAAACAAGTTTTCTTATTGCAAGTAATAATAACAAAATAATTGCTTTTAAATACTCACAATGCACGTAGCAGAATGCGAAGAGTAATATCACAAGGGTCTTCATATTAACAGGAAAATATTGCGCTACACAAGCTTCCTCTACACGAGTAGTTTCAAGTTTAAGAAGGATTTTTGGTTGAGGTAAGAAACTCGGTATCGCGAGAGTATAGCCGGGGTCAAGCGAAGCACTGGCAAGCGGGCGGCCGCCAACTCGACCTCCGATAGCCGACTGCTGACCTCATCGATAACAAACTTCGCTAGAATTCATATTAGCAGATTTATTTTTTCTAGATATCTTTCATTTCTTGTTTTGTTATGTACCTACAGGTCGAACTTCTTGAGGAAAAAGAATAACTATTTACAGATTTTAGCTTTGAACACGCACATTCGGTGAAACAAAGTAGCCAAAAAATATGTATAAACCAGATATTGTTGAAATACATTATTTCTATTTTAAGAGACTATTGCCATGCCCAGAGCAACATCATTAACAACAACATAACTTAAGGTAAATAAGTACTAAAAATTAAATCCTTGATAACTTCATGCAAATATTTTAATCACAACAGTGTTTTTCCTCAGAGCAAGCTCGTTGTTGTGTTTAGTCACAGTGTGTGTAGGAACATGTGGGTTTGATCTAAAACTGCAGCATCCGCATGCAAAACGAAGATAATGTAGACCATTCGTCTCGTATGTCGTACTCGCGCGCTCGATTATCTTCAATAATCACGTTTGCTTTAATGTGGTATTGCAAATACTCGGTAGTTTCATCAAAGTATTCAGTCTCCTATAAATAACAAGGAATGCATTAGCATTAGTATCTGTTTTTGTTTAGCAAGCAACTCATAATTAGAGGAGATAATTATGAAATTTTTAAAATTTGTATATTTTAGTTCAAAAGACATCAACGAACGCAAAATGATTTAAATATTTTGTATTGAAAGAAATGGCGTATTTAGTTCAGAAGTAAGTAGTATTCGTAATTGCAAAATAGGAATCAAGTCATAATAACCTTTAGTATTAAATACCTATGTTATGTTAGGTAATACTATGTATAGTATTACCGTGACGTTGTTGACGAGTAGAGAGTTTAATATGACATGAGTACCTGTTTAATACACAATTTATTAGGTAAATAGCTAAACAATAACAATTGTTACAATTAGGTAGTAGTTAACCACAAAACATAAGCAGAACTTTGAGAGCAGAAGTTATAGTGCTAATGGAGATTCAAACAAAGCTCAGTAAGAAAATTTAATTACAGCATATAATATTCCTAAAAGTAGGTACAGTAAATATATTAATATATGTTGAATAAGAAATGGAACTGGAATCTGAATTGTTTGTAAGATTAGCAAAAAATCACTTATTTCCAATAACGCAATCGCATCTCCCATAACTATTGAGTGTTCTTTGAACGGATCTGATGTTTAATACATGAAGTAAAACACGATTTTCCCGCAGTGCGCACGCGACTGTTGCATTGCAGGGGCTCGCTCGCCTGCGACCGCTCGTGGTAATGTCTCTTTTCAGTGACTTTCTTTTATTCATCCCGAAGATTGTACTTATCTTAGGTATACTTACAATATCTTCCTATTTGACCATACTACTATTATAATGCTGCTGCACCCGGCTGCGGGTGTCTATGGGCGGCGGTAATCACTTACCAACAGGTGATTCGTATGCCTCATGTCCCATAAAATAATTCAGAAGGATTCAAATTAACATAAATAATTTATAACTTACCACAGTATGTATACCTTCCTATTTGAACATCCTGCTATTCAATATTAAACTTTTTGTCACATTTGTGTAAACACGAATGCGTGTGATCAAATTATTAGTTCGTTAATTACAAAACAAATATTATCGGACAATATGTGAATATTTTATAAGAATCATCATAATATTGCTGTATTATGCAAATAATGCACAATGAAATTTTATTGCTGTACAGACAACTGAGACAACATTTTGTGACATTACTCTCGAGGCAATTTATGTGTTTTAAAAGGTGCGATTTTGCGACAAAAATATAGTCAAAGTCAAAATTTCTTTATTTGTTTAGACTAATAAATAGTTCAATCACAAATCGTCATTTTGCTCTTAAGGAGCCTCTACATGTCTCATAATCTTTTTACCCTACCAGCGCTTCGAGACCAACATTTGGCAAGTGCTGAGAAGAAGCGCCGCAACAAACTCAGTCACCACTGTCTGCCGGTTAATATAAATAAATAGAAATAGTAGTAGTAGGTACATTCGATTCAGGAGCAGTTCACTGAATTTACCATGCATTCTATAGATCCTGATGTGCTGTGCACTGCTGACAACTTACACATTGTAGAGCAAGTAAATAATTTAGTAAAATTATAACAAAGAATGCATGTCCGTACACATTCGTGCATATCTAATCGCTTTAATGAAAATTTATTGGCCGCCTGGAAACCAATAACCTGGATATTTGAGTTTTACAAATATTTTTCCGATTTTTCGAAAATAAAATTAATTATTCCGATTTATTGATGATAAAACACTAATTGCAAAACCAACTTGTTAGGTAAACACAAAAGGTAATTTAAGTATAATGCGTTTACGTAGGTAGTACTACGTTTGCTGTTTTTAATAAGAAAATATGTCATGTTAAACTTTATTCAATTAAAAACTCAATAAAAAACAAGTTTTCCACATGATTAGAATTTTTTAATCTTCAAACTCGACTGACGAGAAATATCTCCATTGTCCATTGACCTCTCCCTAACTTCATCATAGGTGCTTTTTAATTGAGTGCCTGTCCAAGTTAAACGTGTAAATTAAAATTGGAAGATTAATGGCCGCTATACATAACAAAAAATTTACACTACGAACATCACGATCGAATTGTTTTCATGAAATTACTCGTTACTTATAAACTACTAGCTGACCCGGCGAACTTCGTACCGCCTTAGCGTAGAGATTTTCTTAATATTTTTTTCCGTAAGAACCATCCTTGGACTTCCACAAACATTAAAAAAAAAGAATTATCGAAATCGGTTCAGCCGTTCACACGTGATGCCGTGACAACGCGAAACGGGTTTCATTTTTATATATATAGACGAGCATTTTATACAGGCAAAACACAACTCCATTATCGCCTCGCTACTTGACTAGGCCCGGATACGCAGATGTTGTCAAAGGCCACTGAAGGTCGTTTTTGTTTACTTCCAAGGTGTGTCGTGTAATATTACCTATTCGGGGCAATCACCGCGCGGCGCAAAAACTGGAAGACCGCGCGGGTTCAATCCGAGCATGCCATACCTATAGTTGTGTATCTACACACGAGTAGATGGACATGACGTCATCCAGAGGTCGTGCAGTATCGCTGTCGACACGGCCCGGAGATCACTACTGCGCCGCAATCGCGATACAGTAAACGTCTAGCGTCTCCCAACATGAGGGTCCTTACAGTTCTTATGCTGTGCCTCGCAGCTTCCCGGGGTGACGATATAGCGCATGCAGCAGGACAAATTTTCAACAGCATCCTTCCCAACCTGATCAGCAACTCGGTGACTGGACAACAGGGAAACACTGCCACCAACACCCTCTCACAAATCGGCACCGTCGTCGGCGGAGTGGTAGACTATGCCAAGAAGAAGAGCTACGAGGACCTGCTTCGCCAAATCCAGGACAGCACCACCGACGAAGACCTGCTCCGCGTCGGGGAAGAGATGATCAACGCGGATATCAACAACGCTTTCAACTACATTCAGGTCAATTTGCAAGGCAAAACCAGTTCCATGTCGAAGAACGACGAAGCGCAATCTAAGTAAGTCTGTCACTTGGAATTTTCATTAACTCTAATCCACCCGTTTGACTAACGTTAACGATCCATTCCCCATTAATGCTCCCTAGAATCTAGATAGATGGCGAGTTTCACTGCTCTCATAGCAGTAAATAAACATTTATCTACTGGGTACCTATACAGGCCTGATTTTAGACAGGCTTTATTTATATTACTTGTGAAGTTAAATGATGATGCATACGCTTACGTCATGCGCAAGTAACAAAGTTAATTAAAACCTTGAATTAAACTTGCTTGTTTTTCAGCCTCCTCAATGTGCCTGAGAACGTATGGAATGGACCCACAATCAGACCCTTCGTGGCCTTATTCGATAACTACCACAAAAACATAATCAGGCCCGAATTCGTAACTCCTAACGTAAGTTTCATATTTTCCTTCTCGCCTATTACCTCCATAGAGTATGTTGTTTAGTTTGGTACTTTGGGAAACATAGTAGACGTATATTCGAAACTAGGTATGCCCTCGACTTCGTAAGCGTGAAAATTGTTTAAATATTATTTCCTGTTTTTGCAACAAACATTTTCCTCTACTGCTCCGCCCCTATTGACTGTAAGGTGATGTTATACAGGGTGGAAACGATAAGTGATCTCACTCGATTATTTCTAAACTACACAAGATATCGAAAAACTGGTTACTGATCCTGAAAGTGCTTCACGAGCTCTTTCTAACGGTATCAGTAATAGATTACAGAACTATCTGGATCTATCCGATAATTCAATGTCTTCAGCCTCCATACTAAATGTATGCCAGCCACACAATATTAAGTGTTAATTTTTTTACTAAATAATAAACACTTAAAATTAACTCATAAATTGCATTCTTATTTAAAATTATTCATGGAAAACATTGGTTCTACGCTTTACTTGCTATAATATTATCAAGACATGAGTGCCATGACTGTGGCAGTACCTACTAAGTAAATGTATGGAAGCTGGAAACATTGAATTTTCGGTTAGATCAAGTTTATTTTGTAACTTATTATTGGTACTATTGGATAGAGCTCGTGAATCACTTTCAGGATCAGTAATCAGTTTTTGGATATCTTGTATAGTTTTTAATATTAAGAGGTTTTACTAAATGTATGGAAGCTGGAAATATTGAATTTTCGGATAGATCCAGTTTATTTTGTAACATATTATTGGTACCGTTGGATAGATCTTGTGAAGCACTTTCAGGATCAGTAACCAGTTTTTCGAGTGAGATCACTTATCGTTTCCACCCTGTATAGCCTTAATGAACTATCCAAAACAAAAAGTTTTTTCAAATTGGACCAGTAGTTCCTGAGATCAGTGCAAGTGCAAACAAACAAACTCTTCAGCTTTATAGTGTTAGTAGGTAATGTTTCTGCACACCACCTGGCCGCATTTGGCCACTAACGTGCGGTGATGTCATTGCAGGAGGAGACCGAACAAACAACTTATATCAACACGATCCTTGCCACGGGCCCTATCAGGAGCCTTGTGTCGTTCCTCGTGAACAAAGGTATGCCATACAAACGCTTTTATCAAAATTCTTCTCACGGCTGAGCTGAGTCACAATCGAATTAACTAAACATATTTTATCTTGACTACGACATTACGTGTTCCATTATTCACATATCTAAGCAGGCAGGTATGAAAATATTTTCTGATCGTTTATTACAAGTAATAAGTGTAGATTGGCATAGTTCTAATGCTTTGAGCAGAGCAATGCAACTGTTATGTCAGTCTCAATAGTCAGACTTTTTTTTAACATCTACACTCGACATCAAATAAATCGCACGTCCCGCGACAAGCATTTTCAAACGTATGCTTCCCCACTTCCCACCAATATTGGCACCATTTGAAAGCCTAGTTCTAACCTTAATTTCATTAAAGGAAAGGAAACCCAAAAATGTGTCTTTAGAAGGATCCAGAGTCACTTCTTCAAAAAATAGGTAGTTACGCTAGAGCCAACTTTTATGGCTATAAAACTGTTAAGTTAGGATTAATCGCTATCCATCTGTTAAAGAGGACACGTGAGATCATTATTTGGTTTTATAACCATAAAAAATGGTCTAATTGATCCCATAGGTGGGCCCAAACTGAGGTATTTTTTCAAGTCACATTTATGGTATATGTTAATCATTTATTAAGAAATTAAATGCGTTTTTCGTTAAGGATATTTATTGGGCTTTCAAATAACACCAATATTGTTGGGGCACCATGATTGTGTCAGAAGAAAATCGTTAAAGTTCGCGTCGCGGAAGGTGCGGTTTATTTGATGTTGAGTATATTAGCTAGGTACTTGTTTTTGGATATTCTAAGAGCGAAATAAATTAATATTAGAAAAATTAAACTTATTGGCTAACTACATTACCAACATACCTCCGATCGTCTCGTAGTTCTCTACAATCAATTAAAATGAAGCTGCAGGGAAATATAATATCTAAAAAATATTAAAATAAAAGTTATGTAAAAAATCAAACTGCTTTCGAGTTTGGACCAGTATTTATGTTTTCAATCACAATTGAAGTCCTGTAAATCCCATAATGAGAGGAACTTTCAACTTTGTGCAAAAGAACGTAGCTTTTAGGCTGAACGTAAATCTACGCATCTTTCACTTAATAAACTTGGCAGGTCTGACCCAACTGAACGAGTACAACGAGCAGGTGGACCTGCTAAGGAAGATCTGGTTCACAAAGTACGCGCGCCACTGGTCCGGCCTTTGCAAGTGCAGCTGCGCCTTCGAAAACGTCTTCATGGCTGAACTCAAGTCCGACGAGGTGCTTGGTAAGTCGAAGAAATAAGGTATCTACTTAGTTACTTCATACATTTCAGCCGACGTCCACTGCTAGACAAAGGCTTCTTCCAAGGATTTCCACGACCGTTACTTACTTACAAATTAAATAATGAGAAATATTACTGCCCCAGAGTTCCTATGAATATTGGCACCTTTGCCTTTAAGATTCTAAGACGTTCCACAGCTTTGGTTACCATTGTAATCATTTGAGAAAAGATAAGTTTGAGTGAAGTGAAGCCTATCTTACTGGTTCATTAAAAGTTTCATTTGTATTTTAGATAGGTAGGTAATATTTTTTAAACTGACGTCTTAAATATTTGTGTCTAGGTCTCCACAGCTGGCTGTTCTTCGCCAAGCGCGAGCTGGACCACAAGGCCAACTACCTGGGATACATCGACAAACTAGACCTTCCTGGAGTAAGATCTATTTCATTTCATAACTAACCTATTGGAGTTTCAGGAGTCACAAAAATTTCTATTCTATTCCCGAGCCGAGATAATATGTACTGAAAATTCGTTCCTAACAAACAGCAACAACTCTACTGCAAAGTTTTCGTATAAAAAGATTAATAACTAAGTAAATATCTCTAAAACATGATTAGTATCTAAAAAATATAGATAGGACGCGAACTCACGACTTTTCATTTCGATTTCCGTCGATACCTTACCTATCTGAAAAATCATTCTATAACTTACGAGCAAAAGTATGGAATCACCCCTTTGTGTTCCGAGCGGTCTTAAGAACTGAATGACTATGTATTGTATGTATCTATGGTATCAATTTAAAGTTTATAATATCACCTTTAAAATGGTGCCATTTTTATTGATCTTCTATTAGTCATTTAGTTCTTATGATCGCTCGGAATAAATAGGGTGATTCCATATTTTTGCTCGCGAGTGTACATCAAATTTTCTCATTACCAACTTGTCCCATTACAGAAAGGCATGATCCTCAAGCAGCATTCAGTCCTCAGCAACACCAAAGACGCGCCCGAGGTGACCATGTTCGTCGGGACTTCCCCCGAGCTAGAGACCGCGCTATATACGCTCTGCTTCATGGCGCGCCCCGACCGGCCCTGCAAGCTGCGATTCAACAACATCCCCTTCACTATCCAAACCAAAACCATTAGGGCTGACAACTTACCGGTTATCGATACCGCGTACCCCACTTATTAAATCGATTAAGTCTTAATCGTTACAATATTCACCATCTTTTTTACATTTTAATCAGTCAGTTGTGTATAGTTACTTACAATAAGTTTGCAGAGTTTATACAGACAATAAGAAGCTAACGGATGTGTAAGTAACTATTATTGCCAGACTAATCAAGATTGCGCGCTCAGTGTAACTGACGACGTGTTATCAAAATTTAAAAGAGCGTAGCTAGTTAAGAAATCTGATAACATAGTTAAATTAGCAAGAAATGGATTAATAAGTTTGGAAGTCAGAAATTTCATTATCGTCTCACAATGTAAGTTAGGTTTAAACAAATGTCAATAACTTGTCAGGATCGTAAATAATATCAGACTGTCCAGTGTCCTCCCATTTACTAACATATTTAATTGCCATGTATTTAAATGATATATTTATTTACCATAAAATTGCTCTCTGCTTTACTTTCTAAGTTGCGAGTACAAATTATAATATGCAATAATAAATTATCAAATTAACTTGTTTGTTTAACTCAAATTAAGGAATATAGTGATAACAACAAAACGGATTTATCACAAGCTACTATTTCAGGTCGCGGCCCCGAAGATAACAATATTATTGCACATCACAAATTAAACAGGATTTATTGCCAAACAACGATAAAAACAACTGNAGTCTCAACACATGAGCCAAATTTCAAGTGTTAATGCACAGTAGTTTTTGAGTGATGAGGATTCAAAAGTGGCTCAAAGTGATTCATCTAAATATACCCACGGTGCAGTCCCCTCGCTGGAACTAGGCTTAACATGCTCCCGCATGTCTAGAATGATTGCTCAATGTTGATTTAGTCGATTTTCTCCTAATGGGAACATGTAAGACAAAAATAAAATTTCCAATATTACAGACCTTCTAGAGCAGATGCCGCGAAAACTATACAATTTATAGAAAAACTTGTCTATCTCATCTGTAGCAAATTGAATATGCTTTTTTTGGTTCAAAGTAGTCATGTCACTAGGATGCATAGCTTCCGAGGATTAAGCGAAAAACCGAAAAGTGGCACCCTTAAACCCCCCTCTCCCCGCCGGCTCAAGGGCTAAGGGCGGGGACTTTTGCTATGTTCACCTCCTAACTAGTCTAAATAAAGTCCTGAAGTCAGAAATTGTGTTCTACAGTTTTCCATCTATAATGCTTTATTGACTGGACTAGTAAACGAACAAATACACGATATCTTAATGTATATTAAAATGAAAACTTTATAAACTGTAGGTACGACGATGATACTTGATTTGGGTCGAGTTATTGTCTTTTTGGATAGGCAGTACATTGCAATGTCATTTAATTCACTAATCGTATTTATCGGGTAAATATTAAATCGTGTTGCTTGAAAATTCATTAATGCAGTACGAATACTTTATTACTATACAACTATTGTAAAATATTAAAATACTTCGTTAAATTCGTAAACTAATGCTGTAATGTCATAAAAAATGTATACAACAATCCTTATCAAAAGTTGTTGTGAAACCACACGATTTAAAATTTACCCGTTATGTATAATTATTACATCCAATTAGATACTCCTATGTACCTACTCTTATATACATAGAAGACAAAATAATGTCGAATATTTTTCTAAAATCTATGACTACTTCAAAATATGGCTAAAGGATCTTTCGCTTTACAAAGACTGACTTTCAAAATGACTACTTTAAGGCCTGTGTTATGAAACGACATTTATCTTGACTCGAGGTAATATTCAAGCATAAAATTGGTGTTAATAAATATTGAAATTCAACCAAGGCCAGGTTAATTCGTTTTATAATACAGACCTAATGCCCGTTTTCACTATCAATCCCTAATTTTTAAGTGACCCCAATGTAAACAAAATTCCTGTTTTGTGTTACTATAGGGGTCACTTAAAAATTAGGGATTGATGATGAAAACGGGCATAAGTCTCCAATTCTCTAAACTACTACTAAGGATAGCTTATTAACGGTGATAAAAAACAACTGAGCAAATAATAAATCTTATCAAAAATGAAATGCTTCAGAATATCAACATCAACAAAGCACAAGATGATTTCATATTAATAATTTTATAAAACTAAGATCGTAATCAAGTGATTGCTTCTAGCTTTTACTTTATAAAAATATATCTGTCTTCGTAATTACTTATCGTATTAATTAGCAAACAAGATTGATGTTATGTGCCACTCATATGTAACTATATCAATCAATCAAAAATTATGAAGCGTATTATATAGCCTTGTCACAAATAGATCAAGTTATTGGAGTTACATACATTTTAATCACAAAATCAACGTTAAAAACGTGTATCAGTAGTGGAAATTCAATTAGAAACACATATTTGAAGAAATAAATGAAGATTAGCGGCAAGATCACTTTTTAAAGCAAATTCCAAAGAGTTTCATTACGTTCGTATAGATGCAACGTATAATTATTAAATCTACAACAAAGAAATTATAATAAAACTTGGGAAAGTATTGCAATAACATCAAATTACAAACGAAGAGGAGACACATAAAAAAGCCTATTTAGGATATTAATATAGCAAACATATTGACGATAAAATTAAATAATTAATAAGTTGTTTCACTTGCTGCATTCATCTCGAGTTAAATTACAAAAAATAACAGATTATTTCAAATTAACTAACCACCACTGGTCTGTATTATCTAGCAATTGGTAATGAAATTGACCATCTCATCTTACAATAATGTTGATCAAAACTTAAAAATAACATTATTAAAGATACTTAAATACTTTTAAGATAATAGAAAAGTTAATTATATTAAAATTCATGCATTTTAAATTGACTACGTCTTCGTAAATAATAAATAAATAGTAAAGGTATATTAGTATACTTTTTCAATCGAAAATATTGCACAAATAAACTGCTAATAATAAAAATAATGATTTTATCAACAATATGCACCTTATAACATTTTTAAAATACCAAGGTGGTAACGTTAATAATTAATATACTATGGTACTATTTACAGATATTAACAATATAATAACTGATTGTTATTTGAAATGAAAATATGGTTTTCGAACTTCACTAATTGAGTGTGTAGGTAAATTAAGTATTTGTCTTAAATCATAATTATTTTATTGCAAACCAATCTAGATGTTTACTTAGACATGGAAGTTTGAATTATATGAAGATATTATAAGATATTTCATTCATCAGATCCACGGAACGTAAGCAGTTTTCGTCAGATGCTAAGTAAACAGTTTTCTTGCAAGAATCTGACTAAAGGCTCTCATCAATCGGGAGGATGACCGTCCGATGTAACAGTGTTGCACGCTCAAAATACAATTTGGCATTGGTTACATTACACGAGTATACTCTCGATGAATGAGCACCTTAATATCGTATGATATAAATAATATTACATTGCAACTCTACATAGTATTTCATAACTTAAAGACATAATATACTGACTTTAAAAAATTAACAATGATTTATGTATTTAAAAGCTTTAATTAAATCGATTTATGAGACAGTATTAAATACTTTTGACTAGAAAACAGTTGGCTGAATACTTATCTATATCTACTTTTTCGCTTTTCCATTAAATATAATAAACTAAATACTATCCAAATATGATATGTATAAATAAAGAAAATACGCAGTTATACATCCTAGATCATATCAAAGGAACATGTTACAGAATATTCAAAATATTCATAATACCATTTTTGTGAGTAACTTATCATAAAAGGGATGTATAAATATGTATAACAGACCTAAAAGGATTCTAAACGAGTTATATATCTGATTGCTTAATACTGTTCTTAAAATAACATTATTCAATTGAACTTAAATAGCAACAAAATCAGTGAAAGTTTATCTTTCTTACATTAAAATAAACATAATTGCCACGATACTTTCAGCTTAAAACTAGACGAAATAGGAGCCGTATTCGTGTGGCATCACTCCCCGCCGTGGGTAGAAAGTGTGAGTGAGGGAGTAGTTGAGAAGATTCGTGATATTTGAGGTGTAAATGTCGGCGAATCTGAACAACCTCCTAGAGAAGTATGTGGGGTTGTGGTAGGTCCGGAACACGCTACCGAACTGGGGGTTAAACACCGCCTTTATTTCGTTCCTGGAAGCGAGATAAGAACTCCTACAATGCGTCGGCATGAAAAGCAAACACAGGCGATTATTTATTTACAGCCAATCAGTCAATTTGTACGAAGAGCTTGCAATCAATCACAGCCATAAAAGGCAATGTATTTCAAATTATTTAATTCACATTTACGTGCGGGAATAGTCCCTAGTAGCATTCCCTAATGTTTCCAACATCCAGTGCTATCAAAAATAGTAAAAACAATATCTTTTTCTAACTTACTTAAAAATGGATATCAACTGTTCTGAAAATACCTTTTGGCAGTGATTCATTGCATTCCACACTCGTACTTGTATATAATTTTGTTCATCAAATGCGCAATAGCATACGACACAAGTTTACGAAAAACAATTCCAATAATAGCATGTTTACCGTTTACACACACGCGAGTAAATACGAGTGAGCCATATCTATAAACACTAGCAATCCCTTGTCAATTGTTTTATAAATAAAAATAATTCCTGATGTGTTCAATTAAATAGGCATTGTTTGAAATTAGTTTTTAAATTAACATCCTGAATTATAATTATTGAACCACGGACAAAAAATGTTTGTTCATATTTCATAATTGCAAATTAGCATCGCTTTCGCCTTTCGATTTATTAAAAACAAGAGTTCGACGAACTAATATCAACACATAATCCATATTATGTAATTAAAGTTAAAAAAAACTGATAAATTAAGAAAACTGACACAAAACTCTACACCTCTGTAACACAATCTGTAGTGTTAATGGTTAAAAATAAAACTCTCTCGATGAGGTACCGGATTCGATTCCCCGTTGGGTTACACGTGTCAAATCTCTGTGTTTCCAGTTTTTTAAGGAAAGGACATTGCACACGCGATTGTCTGAAAATAATTCGCGCGATCTGATTGAACAACCGAACGCGATGGAGGACTGTTGTGGACGCCCTTTACCCCATCTAGGAGACATAAGATCTTATGTCAAAGTAAGTCAAGTGATTGAACAACCTAATATAACAGACTGTAAATACACCAGTCTGATAAAGTTATGACCTCCGTTTTTACAACATAGACAAAGAAGAATAATTTTGTCTATACTCGACGCAAAAACTCGCAGCAGGTGGGGGCCATAAGTAATTTTTGATGATGATGCACACTGGCTAATATTTTTTATTAATTATTACGTATTTTAAACAACACTATGCCTGCCTCTGTATTACGTCACCCAAAACCATTGTGAGTGCGAGAGAAAACGTGATATGCACTGTTTTAATATTACACTGCCTGCCACAAGTCTTTGCTCCGAGTAAGCGCTCTTTTAGCGAAAATCATTCTGTTATTGAATGCTCATTTATCATAAAACTCGTCTCAAGTACCGAATAGCGGTTTAATATGAAACTTTACTGACCTAAGATAGTCCCGCTCAGCCATCCACTGGCCGATGACCTCGACGGCCTCCGGTTCCTTATAGTCTTGGTGGTCCTCGATAAGCTGGGTCAGCATCTGAAGCCAGTTCGCATTCTCCTTGAAAGACTGCGTGTTGAGGGTCTTGATCTCGTGCTGAGAACAAATTAATACATAGGTACATTCGTTTGAGAGGATATTTTTTTATTTGTTTGTTTTAATTTTAAATAGTTAAAGTTAATTAAAATTATTGGTTAACAGTTGACTCATTATAATACCAGCTTTAAAAATAATAAAGTCCATACGAGTACACCGACAATAAGTATGAAAAAGAGTCCAGCCTATGATTGGTCCTAGTAATCAATCAATCAATCACGAAGTGTGAATTCAGTTATATTGTCTGAAAATCTAGTGATAATGTCGACCGTAGACGGTTAGTTGATTGATCACAATAGATTAACCAATAGATTAGTTTGTTTGCTTCATAGATAATAGAATTTCTTCACCTGTTAAATTAATGTGTCTGATTATTATAACCGATTGCAAAAACATCTATTGCATTTATTATATCAAATGAAATGGATTAAGAGTATTAAAATCGAGATGCCCGACATTGTGGGCGTGGCCAAAGGTGGGTCGCTGAACTGTATGACGTCACAGGTCGCTGCAGAGTGGTCCCAATATTAAGCGAGATGGCTGACAATATGGAGGTTGCCTAATGAAGGTGTGTTACTGAACTGTAATCTCGTTGATGATGGCGCCGGTCCGCCAGCCGTGCTCGAGCGTGACGTCAGCCAGGTCACTGTAGGGGTGGTCTCCGAAGTACAACACCTGGTGCCCGCTCCAGCCCGTCAGGTCTTGCAGCTGCTTCACTGTGCCCTGGAGACAATTGAGAACATTTGAGGTGACAATAGACCAACGGTTACCCAGTACGAACTCCTTCGATTGATGAATTAATAATAAATAATAATAATGAATATCCTTGGACATTTTACTCTGTGCCTCTAGTCCCAAACTAAGCAAAGCTTGTACTATATGTACTAGACAACGGATGTAAACATACTGAAATACTTTTTTTGTAAATACATACATATTATACCTACACAGAAAAGACAGCGAATTATTGTGGTGAATCCTAACACGAGCATCTTACTTGGAGTGGTTAGCGGGAAAATTAGTCATAAAATCTTCGCTTAAATAGGTTAGTATGTAAGTACTATGTAATGTTTTTAAAAAGATATTGTGTAAAAGAGATACATGAGGCACCGTTTATTATCTGTTGTTCGCTTTGCACTGGAAGAATCTTCAAATTGTTTTGTTTGGTCAATATCATATCCAAATAATACGCACAGCTTCCATAGCGTCCACGATCCATAGCGTCATAATACGCACAGCATGTCCTCACCTCATAATAAATGATCCCCTTCTCCAAAGACGTGACCTTCTCCCAGATGTGCGTATTGGCGTTCTTATCAAACACCCTGATTGGGCGAGACACTTCAGTGAAGAACTTGGGCTTGTTCGCGTTTACGATCACCACGTCGAAGAAGTCCCGCCAGTCGTGACCAACTAGCATCTCCATGCCCGCATTGCTGGAATTAAATGAAATATACAGGGTGTAAAAATGCATGATAAAGCTTTTTTTTATCTGTTTTTATTTAAAACATGGTCCGTCCCATCGAATCTTAATACATTAAGATTTATTAATTAGAAAGAGGTTTCCTCTTGCGAAACCATATCCACTACAAATCTTGCAGCTTTGTTGGATCAGCTAAAAAACATTTTTTTCTAAATTGTAGTACACATTCTTGTGAAACTTTCACAAAATTAAATGACGAAGCTTAAAACTATGCATTCTAAACATACAACCATGTTACCTAAATGATTATTAGAGGACAATACAAACTGTTATTTTTATTTTTGAGCTGAGACAAATTTTTAGCGTTTTCCTTAAAATTTGTGGTCTGGCCGGTCTGAAAACCGGCCGGTCGGTGTCGGTAGTAATAAAGGAAAAAAAAAGAGTGGAAGGCCTTCGTACGTCACGTCTACCGATGCGTGGCCGCCACTCGATGCAGTAGGTATTATTACTATATTATGTATGACTATCAGACTATTTGGACCAATATTTTGGTCCACTTCTAATCAGTACGAAGAATCGGCCGATACCAAATCAGTGTAATACATGTTCGTTCATACTCATTAATATCCCAATTAAAACTATCGGCCGACAAAAAATCTGCAGTCTACAGGCACTTTTTCACTTACACAAAATGATAAGGGCTGTTGGTCACCAGAAACAAGTTCTTTTCAGATTCTTGTAACATTTGGAAATATTTTCTTAGGTCTGGATTGGGCCTGATGTACTCTTCGACATTCTGAGCAACAATCTTGTGCATTATCGGATGGCAGCTTTGTACAGAGTTCTGGAATATAGTAAAAAATAAAACTGGATGAAATCTATCACCTCACATCTCATAATTAAGGTATTACTATTGCCCATTTTCATTATCAATCCCTAATTTTTAAGTGACCCCTATGAAAACAAAATGCCTGTTTTGTGCTACCATAGGGGTCACTTGAAAAGTTAAAAATTAGGGATTGATGGTGAAAATGAGCATAGGTCTACTTTTTTAACTGAAGTAAACTCTACCCAGATTTTAAGTTTGTTCATCTGCTATCAAACAGTGTAAATAAAGTAAAAAAAGACCTTGACACAATAATTTATTTTCTCTAGTATATGGACAGAACTACATTTTATCAGAGAAACTGAATTCTTGGCTTAAGCCTCAAATCTCTAATTAAAAGTAATATAAATATTTCTTACCTTAACATCCAAAAACAAGATTTCTGGATGATAATCAATATGGTTCTTTATGAAATACTCTGCTACATTACACAGCAGGCCCATCTCAGGTACTGAGAACAANACTGAAGAGTATTTCAAATAATTATTATGACTGGATAAAAAGGCTGGTACCCAGAGCCATAAAACATCACAGATTAATAAGAACTAGGCCACGCCCACTAGGTTTATTCCACTTGCACCTGTAGAAAGTGCGAGACAAAATTGGTTTATTCCAATTTGTACTGCAAAACCAAATTTACTAAAAACTCAGTGTACTTTCTTTATGGGAGACTCTTGTTTATCTTAAATAACAGGTATTGGTCCCTACTTTTATCTCTGTGAATATGGCAAGAATGCAAAGTAACACGGTGTATATAGGGTGTAAAAATGCATTATAAAGCTTTTTTTTTTATCTGTTTTTATTTAAAACATGGTCCGTCCCATCGAATCTTAATACATTAAGATTTATTAATTAGAAAGAGGCTTCCTCTTGCGAAACCATATCCACTACAAATCTTGCAGCTTTGTTGGATCAGCTAAAAAACATTTTTTTCTAAATTGTAGTACAGATTCTTGTGAAACTTTCACAAAATTAAATGACGAAGCTTAAAACTATGCATTCTGAACATACAACCATGTTACCTAAATATGACTATTAGAGAACAATACAAACTGTTATTTTTATTTTTGAGCTGAGACAAATTTTTGGCGTTTTCCTTAACATTAGTGGTCTGGTCGGTCCAAAAACCGGTTGGTCGGTGTCGGTAGTAATAGAATAAAGGAAAAAAAAGAGTGGAAGACCTTCCTACGTCACGTCTAGCGGTGCGTGGCCGGCACTCGATGCAGTAGGTATTATTACTATGTGAATGAGTCTCGCAGACTAGACTATTTAGACCGGTAGTTTGGTCAGCTTCTAATCAGTACGAAGAATCGGCCGATACCAAATCGTATAATACATGTTCATACTTATTAATGTCCCAATTAAAACTATCGTCCGAAAAAAATCTGCAGTCTACACGCACTTTTTCACTTACACAAAATGATAAGGGCTGTTGGTCACCAGAAACAAGTTCTTTTCAGATTCTTGCAACATTTGGAAATATTTTCTTAGGTCTGGATTGGGCCTGATGTACTCTTCGACATTCTGAGCAACTATCTTGTGCATTATCGGATGGCAGCTTTGTACAGAGTTCTGGAATATAGTAAAAATTAAACTGGAAGAAATGAAGAAATCTATCACCTCACATCTCATAATTAATGTCTACTTTTTTAACTGAAGTAAACTCTACCCAGATTTTAAGTTTGTTCATCTGCTATCAAACAGTGTAGGTAAATAAAATAAAGAAGAGATGACCTTGACACAATTATTTATTTTCTCTGGTATTTACACAGAACTATATTTTATCAAAGAAATTGAATTTTTAGCTTAAGCCTCAAATCTCTAATTAAAAAGTACCAAATATAAATATTTCTTACCTTAACATCCAAAAACAAGATCTCTGGGTGATAATCAATATGGTTCTTTATGAAATACTCTGCTACATTACACAGCAGTCCCATCTCAGGTACTGAGAACAGATCCGCCAAATGCACCATCTTTGCGCGATTTGCCTGAAATGTTAACCAGAAGTACATTTGAAACAAACTGGTCTTAAATATTTTAAGTTTTAATTTTTAAAGATAGATAAGAGCATTACATCTAATTCTTGTTTCAATTTACATAAGATATTCTTACATACATAGTTAACTATCATAACATGCAGGAAATAATTTTAAGTACCAATATTTCAGTAACTGATCTGTGACATTGTTTATTTCCATATTACCATAACATGCGCTGCAGAACTGCTAGTAAATAATAACATCATGTCATAAAACATACAATATAATTTGCTAACCTACATCTGTATAAATAATATAGCTCTAGTACAGTCAGTACATTATTTACAATTGCACATCAGTGTCATGTCACATGGGCCTTGTATCAACACAAGACGTAGGGGAGTGGACAAATGAATGATTGCTTACAAGTGCTGTTGATTACTAACACATGTCGCTATAACTGGCCGTAATACATTGAATAGTCGTAAATCGCATGCAGTTACTAGACTGATCTTTTGCATATGCTCTGACGAGATGCTGGATAAAAGATTATGAGAACAAGTTTCAGGTAAACAGATGTATTTGGTTATTTTCTTAGTAAGTCTATGTTATTATGTTGTTTGACTTACCTTACCTTTCCGCTGTGCAAAAAATTGCATGCAAGTTTATTTACAAAGAATTAAAAACACCACTAAATTAATGAACTTCTAGTGCCTACAATTAAATTGATTTCAGTGTTTCTTTCAAATTGTAAAGAGATCAGTTGAAATAGTTCAACAATATTACCTTATGGGCTCTAGTGTCACCTTCCACGTAGGCAATAGGAATTATTCTGTTCTTGTAGATTTTTAGCACTTCCTCTGTAGAGACAGGTGTGAGGCCTCTATAGACGGCACCAAACTGGATTTGTAGGAACGAGTCCAGTTTCAGCAGCAACCCTTTTTCAATGTCATAGTGAAGACCTCTTACAGCAAAGTTTGGCTTGTACTCCAAATTTAAAATTTCCGGTGGATACTAAAAATGTAGAAGAAAGGGACGTTAAAATTATAAGTCTATAATAATGTTGTTAGTATAATAAAAAATTCTAAATGTATCGTCAACTTACATTGTATTTTTCCAACAAGACTTCTCTGCCAAGATTATACAACAGGTGCTCCAGAGAGGGTTTGTAGTGGGCCAGAGTGTAATCATAGTCGAACCCATAAACTTTAACTTCAGATAAGTCCAACTCATTGCAGGCAAACACACCTCGAGGGTTCACATCTTGCGGTAGCTTTTTTGCTAGAAAAAGTATATAAAAAAGGAATGATATACAAACTTGATATTATATTATTATTTATGTATTATGTAGTCTTAAAAAATTTAAGAGAATTTGAAGCTATATTTACCTACATCAATAGACAATAAAGCAGGTGAATAACAGGTTCAGGAAGGTTTAAGGAAGGGGGCGAATAAGCGATAACTATTCTTGATTATAACATATTAAATACATTGTATGTACTTACAACGACATTTTAATTTAGTGCGACAGTATGCTTCTTTCAGCAATTCGCGTGTCGAATACTTCTTAGCAAGTAAAACATGGCACGTATCGATTTTCTTCGTTAGATTACGGTTCAGATATTTGATTCCACCAACTAAAGTGTTGCACAGGCTCATATTTGGAGAGATATTGGAAATTATGCAGAAGTAAAAATACACTTACAAAAGTGAAGAAACAGGTGCGTTATCGACAATCAAATAGGAGGAAGTTTATGAACATTTACGTTCAATTTATTTAAAAAAGGTGTTAATTAACATTCTCTTAATACAAACATTCGAACATCGTTGCATAATTCAAAACCTAATCGAAGACACAACCACGATACTCGACTCTTTTCAGCAACTTAAAAAAAATCACTGATGATGATTGACAAGACAAATCCTGTCAGTTGTCTCATGTGTCACTGTCAGTAGTGTCAGTCATCACACATGACATACAGTGTTGTATGTGTGAATTTAATCATAATCAATATTAACGAATCTTAGCTTCGAGCTATAAAATTGCAAAAGGGAGAAGTGACATCACTGACATCCGAGCCTTTAACCTATAAGTGTCAGGTAGGTACAAACTTTTGTTTGGTGTGCTATTTGATACACGATATACATGTACTACAAAAATATTATGTTGTCCCGAAAAGATAATAATTATTTAAGATGTATGTAAATGGTGTCTTAACTAAATATATTTTTAACGACGGCTTGGCCTAATAGTTCGCCTGTCGGGCTAACTTGCCAAAAGTCGTAAGTTCTATTGTTGTCTAGTAAGAAACTAATAGTACAAGCTTTACTAAGTTTAAGACTAGATAGCGGCGAAGTGTTCAAATCTTCAAGGTTACATTATACCTTTAGGTGCCTTTATTATTTTATAGGTTCTAGATGGCTGGAAAATCAAAAAGTAGGTACCTAGATTACTTGTCTTGTTTAAGTACCTCCATTTTGAAACTGTCCCGTTGAAAACTAGGAGTTTCGATAGTTTTAGTCCAGCTGAAAAGCTTTTAATATTTAATATCATTTTTGTGCTAGCTCTTAATGTGATAATATATTATGGAAATACAAAATAAAACTAATGTTAAAATTATAAAAATATATTTATAAATATTTTTAAACAATAAAAACACAATAATATAATAGATAGTAGTATTAGTAAGCAGGATTCCGCGCAAAAACTAAACGTGATCTATCGAAATTGACACGAGGAAGCTGCAAGCGGAAGTTATACAAAAACTTATATTTGGGGATAGGCACTTCCGATATAATTTTTACTGCGATAACGGAAGTTATGAGTCATCACTTTCACGTCTTTGCCAGCAAGTTTTACATTGCAGTCATCATCAACACGAGTTAGAAAACAAACTGTGTAAAGCGCCATTTCCAATTCAGGTGATGTTCCAATAAATAAACTGTCGACAGGTTTATCCACTCCTTGTTGATTAAAATGCAATTTTATGATCGCTCCTTTCTGTAAAGCAACAAAATTCATAGTAACATAATGTGTTTTGAAATTAATAGAAGGATTTAATTAATCAGGATATTTTTAGCGCATTATTTTGAATTTATTGTAGGTTAAAAGATGTAGTTTTAATAGTTTTCTTACTTACATCATTTAATTGCGTATATTTTAAATATCCCAGGTAATTAAGACGATTTGCTTGTTCTTCTTTTGAAAAGTAAATCCAGTTATGCAATCCTAAAACAGAAAATAATAGTTTTAAATAACTCAATAGATAGATAACGTGACCGGTCAATTCAATAGATAGTTTTTGTAGAATGAGGATAATCGACGTACTCACTAGTAGGTACTTAATCAATATCATCTGTAAGACACACATCAGATTTTTATTTTACCCTAAATGGCTCTTATTATAGCTACTTATGGTTGCTGTTTAGCTTAACATGCCAAAAAAATTTTTTACAAAATAATGATGTGCAATTTCCCATAAAATATTACTTAATATATAAAATTTCAAATGAACAGGTACTTAGTCATCTACTAACCTGACACTTGGCCATTTTTAAGTTCTGACACAAAGCTATGTTCGAAACCAGAACTGCTTAATTTTCCTTTGCCTCTGGAGTATAAACCAAACCATAATTGTTTCAGAAAATCTCGCTGTTGTCGAGGATCAGGGGAAACATAGCCTGTAAATAAAATAATAATAAAATTTCATAATGCTTACTTAGTAAAGAATACGCTTAACTTTTATAAAGCAACACGACTAAACAATGTCTAGGTATTTTTATCTGATATTTATTATTAGGTATCTTTACCTTTGTCTTTTAAGAAATTCATCAAATGGCGAATAACAGATGTAGCCATTATTGCATCCATAAAGGCATTTTCTTCGTTTCTTTCCTGTAATTATTAATGTTTAATAATATTGTTTACCTTTGTTAATGAGTAATAATATTTTTGTAATTGCCAGCTTCCTGATAAATTATACATGAAGTATCTTTGACTATGGTGAAGTTAACTGTAGGTGCTCGTATGTGCTAATGTGATACTAAATGTACAAATTGCTTATGGTGTTACATTAATTGGCCGATACCTGAGGGGTGACATGCTCGTTGACTAGCGTGTCCCTTTCATAATTGTCTAATAATGGTACGAATTTTTGTATTGTCGGAATATTCCATGCTTCAGGTGCCACCGTGAGTAATCTGAAAGGAAAGACGGTATCATGTAAGCTAATATTTTGATACTAATCAATCAAGGTTAAATAAACATATTTGATAAATTTATCTTATTAGTCATAATAATTATCTTGATTAAGACCATTCCCTACAATGAAAAAAAAACTTTTACTTGACTTTTACTTGCGAAGTCAATGTACGAAGTAAAACTATTTTTATTAACAACTTAAAAAATAATACTCACGGAAGAGGCGCCTTATCATCTGTCGACTGCGAAGTTGTTTTTTCTTGATAATTAACAGTTACATATTTAGCTGCATTATTAACATCGCGTTTTAGAAGCTCCTCAGTAAGAGTTTGAAGCTCGGTGTCTGTAGGTTTACTTCCACTACTTCCTTGATTGTTATTATTTGCTAGAGTGCTAGGTAATACAGCTGGGCGATTTGAAGCTTGATTATTACCAGGCTTTGATTGGGTATTTATTATACCCATCGTTGAAGGTCTATTTGTTGTACTAGATGAAACTGCAGCAGGGCGATTAGACCCAGCAACAACACTGCTAAAACTTAATGGTTTAGGAGTTTGAGTTGGTATCATTTTCGGGGTAGACTGGGTAACAGGAAGAACTTTAGCTGTGCTACCAGAATTTGGATTATTTCCTTGTTGTAAAATTGAACTGTAACTTGGCACTTTTTGAGGACCATTTTGAGGAGTACTTTTACTGTCATAAAAATTTACTAGGTCCTTAACTTTACCAGTTCCTGATTGTGCATTTGTTGAGGAAGAAAGAGGTGGAAAGTTGGGAGCTACATAGTCTCGCCTGTTGTTTGACTGTGTCACTCTATTAGGAATCGGGCTGGTCAGAGTGCGCATAGTAGTTTGTGTGAATGATGTAGTTCCCAAAGATGGAAAATCATCCCGTTTTTTAGTAGTAGTTGATAAAGATGGATTGTTGGGAGCTACATAATCTCGTTTGCCTGACGACTGTGTTACCCTGGTAGATAATGTACTAGGCAAACTACGCGCAGTCGTTACTGTCGTTTGAGTATGAGTAGTAGATCCCAAAGGTGGAAAATCTTCTTTTTTTGTCGAAGGATTACGCACGGGTGCTACATAGTCTCTTTTAGGAACTGTCGGACTTCCTTGAACTGTTCCTGCTTCATGTAATAGGAAATCCGTATTTGTGTTGTATCGTTGCTTATTATATTCCAGGGCTGAAACATAATTATAATGATAAGCATCAGGACCTATGTTTTTGAAAGTAATTTTCTAATCCACATTGATCCGTTTGGCAATAAAATTTAACGTATATACTCGTAACAATTTATGAATGTCTTGGATTTATTAGTAATATTTTATAGCATTTATTTTGTACTAGGTACTTATGGCTTAACTATTAGTATTAAAACTTTCTTTATTTTAATTTATTTATTTATTGCTGTTTACATCATGTATAACATTCAAAGTGTAAGTATTAAGCATCAGACTGATATTAAGTAGTATAAAACAAAATATCCATTTGAATTTGCCGCGTTCGTTCCAAAAGAAATCTGACTTAAGTTTCAAAAACAGAACATTTATTATTTAAACTCAAACACAGTATAATAATAGGATTTGTTTTAATATATTAATAATTTAATCAAAAAATAACAAAGATATCGAGAAGTTAATGCGCAAATAAAAAAAGAAATCAGGCCATGATGTCTACTTCTACTTACCATTTTGTTGTTGAATCAATAAAAGTATCACAATATAATATCCACGTCTACACATAATTTTAAATCTATCATAACACAAAACTAGAGTATTAAACTAATAATCACAAGATTGTTGACTGAATTTTCGACTAGATATAACTTGACCTTTATGTTAGGGTCAAATAAGCATAGTACTTATTATTATTACTACAACCTTCGGAGCGAATCACTCCGAGCGCACGTAAGTAGTAGACTGATATAAGATGAATAAAGTCAAGGAACGTACCTACTCGCTGTTTTAAAAACTTGCGTACACTAAGAGTTCGTTCATCACAGATTATTTCCCGCTTATTGCTGGGCAGTGCAGTTGTCAGTCTTGTTTTGGACCATAATAATAATTATGTAGCTTAGTTACTACATATTATAATAACACAATCATTTTAAGTACGTAGGTCACTTGGGAATATGTAGTATGTTTATGTACCTACACCAATATATTGTTTACTGTAAAAGAAAGCTCCTAATTTAAACGCGTTATAAAATTATTTTAAAATTTTATTAATAAGTATTTTTTCTTTAATTAAGACCGTAACCACTGAAGTTTATCACACAGAAGATCATTTGACTAGATCGTCAGTTGCAGGTTCACTTGGGGCACAACTTGGGGTAACTGACAAAATCCGGTTTTTGAGTTAAATATACAGTCTTTCTTAGTTTTTACTGCTCTTTCGAATGGTATACCATACGTATACGTAAAAATTTATCTTTAAAATTACGATTACATGGACATTTTTGGGGTGTGAACTTTTCAGATTTCCTTCACAATGGAGAAGTTTCGTGATGTTGAAAACATTAGATTTCACTGAATGGGATTAAAATATACAGGGTGTTAGGTAAATGGGTATATTATCATGAGCTGACTCTGGCCCATGTTAAAATGGGCATATAAATGGTATGGTGAAGTCAGAAAATTGATATCTTTATTTTAATTATTTTAATTTTCATACAAATCGGATTTTATAAAATTTATTATGTAAAAAAAAATGTAAAGATTACATTATTATTACACCAGCAGTATCAGTTAAAGAAGTTAAATTTAGCTCAAACCAAAAAATATTGAAATTGAGCAAATTATCTTCCAGCCAACTTAAAGTAAATAGGCGTCACTATGTTACTATTACTAACATTACCCTGTTGAATTACTCATGACGTTAATTCGACATTGCTATGAAGAGGTGGGAAATTATATTCATTTTGTTTTGTTTCAAGTTTTGGTTAAAGTTGCCCCGTAGAGCTAAATATGGTAAATTATTGGTAAGTCAAAGTTTAAAAAAATATTCGAATTACTAAGTTTCACAGTATTACTTAATAGATATTATTTCAATATTTCTTTCTTTAAAAAAATACATTTCGAACGATACGAACTGCAACTGATGTTCATGATTAGGGCAATTAATGTCATAGCTCAGAGTGAGAGAGTACTATCATCATCGGTTATTTTTATGACGTTATAGCAGTACTTATTATTTTTTCTGATAACCAATTAATTTCTAATTACCACACAGTCAGAATCGATTATCGATTCACGCACACACTGCCACTCACTAGCACAAAGCTGAAGGCACTGAGCTGACATTCATTGTGCTGTCATAGTGACATTTTAGAAGATGTTTTTGTAAACATTGCGACGAAATTTTAAATTTTAATTAACATGAAAATTTAAATCATATCATGTAGATTTGTTTTATATATAAAATGTGTGTAATTTGTATTGAAAAAAATATTTTGTCTAAATTCTAATCATATAAATCTTTAACATGAAGAGCAAATTATCGTATCTTGAACTTTTATTATACTTTTTTGTTTGGATTTCTGCAAACTGTTATTGTTTGTACAAATTATTTATTGCACAAAGTGGTAAGTATTAAATTCCTTCACTTTTTAATTCATAGCGAGTGTAATATATTTTATATCACAGTTCATGACAAAGACAAGTTTTAACTCATTTATTTCTTCGACTTTCAGACTTATACAATAATAACTATGATTTCCTACATTCTTTGGGAGAACTGAAGCCAGGATGGAGGCTTTTAAACAGACTTCAAGATATTTCTGATATTGAATGGAGCAGTTGGAAGTATTTTATAAGAATATCTTGGTCCTACTTATTGATACAATTCATTGTGTCTGAAATCATACGCAAAACACAATTGCGGCTTTTGAAATATTGGTACATTTTATCAAGTATGATTTTTATAGTGTCATACATGGGCTACAGACAGTTGATAATTATTATGGCTCAGCCCATTCTTTATGCTTCAGTAATTCTTTTTGGTGGAAAGAAAATGAGTCTGTGGATCATGAGTTTATCACTCCTCATCAGCTATAATTCTCTAAAATACAAATACTTTTTCTGGTATTATTTAGATAGAGAAGACTTGAATGATGAGGAGGTTTATTTAATCTTATTTACAATAGCATGGATCAAGTTGAGGTGCATTAGTTATTCCATTGACCACATTGACATGAAAGAGAAGAGTGCAAAAAGTAAAGAAAAGATTCCATCGACAGTTGAAACATTGGTGAACATGTTCAGTTATGTGTTGTACACTCCATTGCTTTACATTGGACCGATTATTCCATATGAAGATTTTGAGAAAAGCTTTCTAGCTCAGAGTGAGAAGTTGGCCAGTCGCCTTAGAAGATTTATCTGTGATATGTTTTTGTTTACTTCATACACTTTCTTGCTGGACTGTGCATTCCATTACATATATTTCCTTGCAATGCAAAGTGATGTAGAGGTGTGTATCAAGTGAGTTCTTCAGTAATTTAGTAATAATATGATTTTCTAACTTAATGTTTTAATTTGTTCTAGACTATCAGAAAGCTGCCTACTATTGCCTTGTGTGGTGGAGGCCTGTGGATGGGACTGGAGTTCCATCTGAAGTATGTGATATCTTATGGCACCACCACAGCATTTGCTAGATTAGACAACATGGATCCACCACCAACACCTCGATGCATAGCTAGAGTCCATGTGTATTCTCAAATGTGGAGATACTTTGATGTTGGCTTGTACAAATTTTTAGTCAAGTAAGTTTACGAAAGAAGTAATATGTCTTTGAAGCCCAGTTATTTCTGTATTATAATTCATTTTTCAAGTGTATCCTAAAATTACTTATCTGTACTAATCTTGCTTTTTGTTTTCAGGTACATTTACAAACCATTTCTAAGACTGATTACCAAGAACTTCAATATACCCAAGATAATAAGCAAGCTAACAGCATCTTTTGCTACATTTGTCTTCATATTCATGTGGCATGGAACTGTATGGAATATATTTGTGTGGTCCATATTGAACTATTTAGGAATTACTTTAGAACACTTTGGCAAAGTAATTTCAGAAAGTAATAATTATAAGCTATTCAAAGAAAAGGTGTTGAAGACAGATGCAATGGAGACTCGTTTCATTGCTGCCCTTTGCACACCATTGCTGGCTTTGTCAGCAATATCTAATTTCTACCTTTTTGCTGGCAGTAAGGTTGGCAATGTTTATTTCGAATGTTTTATTAATCCATCTTTCTTCAACTCAATGCTAGTGTGCCTTTCCTTATATGGTTGCTGCCATGTATCCATAGCTTTACAAGATGTATCCTCAAGAAGGGATTCCAAACCATCAAAAATAAAGAGCAATTAGCACAATGCAGCAGTTTATTTTACTATGATATTTAAAATGCTATGTCAATAAGCTAGTTCAATTTCGAAAATCATCCCCATCATTATTTTACTTTGCCAAATTAATGTAAATGTTACATTTAACAAATACTTCAGCCAAGGTTTTTATCATCCATATCCATTTAGTAATTATTATTATTGCTGCACAAAACTGTGATATAAATATACGCTTAAATTGTTGGTATGAATCAATCAACATAGTTATGTGCTATGTAGTGTGCTTTACGATCAAACTATGATGAGTGCAAATAAAGTGCCTTATTTGTTACTTATGGTATTTATTATATTTCATTTTCCTTGTGCATCATATGTATGATAAGGTGAGAAATGAGAACCACATGTTTGTAACTAAAATATTATTATATTCAACAAGTAAATAATCACATTAAATCTTATAAGCCTATAAGTTGGTATGTATTAGAACTCTTGAGGAGTAGATAGCAATGTGTGTGCATTGCCTCAATCAGCTCTCCTGCATCACCCGGTACACCGGCCGCCTTGTGGATTTGTATTAACTCTTGCCTTGTAAAAACATCTTTTCCTAGTTGATGAGCTCTTCTTGTGAGGACGTCCAAAAATTTCTTTAGCTGTGAAGAGAAAAACAACATTAGCTTCTCTCTTAAAAATAGGATGATTTGTGAGTTTTCAAAACTTTAAAATACTTGCTTAGATTTTCAATAGTAAAAAATTGCGTAGGTATTATGGTAGAAGAGGGATTAGTGAACTTACTTTACTTCTAGAGCTGACTCCTGAACCGTTGATGGATCTTGACAACTGAATATTCCCAAATTCGTCGCTAAATGTGTCCATCAAACTGTGTTTCATGAGACTTATGACGTCGTTCGCGTCTTTTACAGTAGCTTCTTCTCTTAGGTCTACTCTTGCACGCGCCTAAAAAGTGGTAAAAAAGTACTAAATATTTTGCCATTTTAAGTTGTGGTTTTAAATCATGAAGCAGTTTTCGAGTAAAATAAGTATGGAGACGTGCAATAGCGCTTTTAGGAGTAATCACAAAACGGGATTAAATTATTTTATAAATTTTTTCACTAGAGCCAAAAGCTTCAGTTGACGTTGTTTCTATAAAAGCAGTTTTAAAGATATTTTTTTTGTAAAGATTTAAGTTACCTGTGTAAGCCTAATGCAAGCTTCTAATTGCCTTGTAGTGATGGGCGTCCCATCTTGAGAACCACCTTGATGGTTGTGACGGAGTTCCAAGTAGAATTCTTGCAACGCATTTGCTGCTTCGGTACTCAGCTTCGGATGGACATACCTCCTGGCATAAGCTATGTACTTTCGAAGCAGAACTAATGGTAAAGTATCGATAACTTCACCAGGTTTCAGCCGTAATCGTGTGCTGCAAATTGAAATGGTAAGTGTTAAAATCGATTAGGAATTGTTAATTGGCGAACATTTGTTTGTAATTAAAAAATTGAAAATTGACTGCTTTTATTTAGTGACCTTCTAATTGGTAAAGCTTTCTGCATTATAAGCGAAGCGAAGTTGCGTTTAAACATTTTAGTTTTTATTAATTTATCAAATATTGTACATTTATTTTACCTTAGCGACGCATCACTGTCGTATTGGCTAGTATTTATGCTAACGTTTAGAGCCTTTGAAGAACTTTTTCTCTTTTGACCACTATGCAATGCTAAGACGTGTTCCGATAACATCGCGTCGATTTTCTGAAATCAAACACTTTATTGGTATTTAAATAATGTACAGGTTGAATGTATAAGAGCAGTTTTGTACACAATAAGATTGATATTATAGGCTTAATTTTTTTCATGGTCAAATTGCAAAATATGTTACGTTTATTCTTCCATACAAACCTCATCTGGTTGATCCAACAGGATGAAAACCAAGTCGAATCGGGACAGCAAAGCTGAGTTTATTTTCAAATTTTCTACCACAGTCTTTGCCCTGAAAATCATCAAAATATCATTGAATTCAATATTATACTTATTATGTAGTAATCATGAATTATTTATTACACACATAACAAACGTTTAAATGAATTCAGTAGGTACAGATTGAATAATTTATGGTTCTCTGTTATTTTTTTATCTCGAGGAAAAATATAACTATTATGGAAACCAATTAAACAAACAGACCATCATAACAACTGATTAAGCTTTCCTGTTCATTATTTACACTAAGGATGCAATTATTAATTAACTAGCTTTCCGCCCGCGGCTTCGCCCGTGTGGAATTTTGTCTGTCACAGAAAAACTTTATCGCGTGCGTCCCTGTTTCAAAAACCGGGATAAAAATTATCCTATGTCCTTTCCCGAGACTCTATGCCAAATTTCATCAAAATCGGTTCAGTGGTTTAGGCGTGAAAGAGAGACAGACAGACAGTTACTTTCGCATTTATAATATTAGTATAGATAATTCAGTATGTAAATATCATAGTGTTTTTGTGCATGCTTGCTTAACGCATTTATGCGTGAGTCTATGTGCGGTAAGAATTTGTACGCTCACTAAACCACACTTGCACAAGCCCATGCATGACTGTATCCATAATCATTATCCGGCTGCAGACCACACACCCTTGGTAATACTCCCGTACGTGTGGGTCACGGTGACTTGAAGCACGTGTGGGTCATGGGCGCGTTTGGGTCACGGTGACACTGGCCTATTTCACGTATTTTAACAGTCAAGATCTCGCTGTTCAAAAGTTGTCCCATTGAAAAACAGTTCTAAATCCGTATTCATAAGGGTCATTTTGATAGAAAGATTACTCGATTCCTATAGAGTATGCAATCCTTCGCAACTCAGCGATTTGTTGTCATTGAAGTTTTGTTACATCGCCCCATTGAAAAACAGTTCTAAGTCCGTATTCACAAGGGTCATTTTGATAAAACGATTACTTGATAGGATCGCAACTCAGTGTTTTATTGTCGTTGAAGTTTTGTTATGCTTGCTTAAGTGAAGCAGAAAATTGAATGCACAGGGTTAAATAGAGCTCTGTGATTGTTTTTTTTTTTTGAAGAGACGCGTGCTGGTAGCTTGAGGAGCTTTTCCAGCTTCACCGGGCAGAGTGGCGAGTACAGAAGGTACTCTAGCCGTTTGGCGATCGTCGGTCGTCGTCGACCGACGTTCGCGATCGGGCCGTATCGAGCGCATAAGGCGCCCGATCAGTGGCGAACCCAACTAGAGGGTTGCCCACCGCGGTGTTGGACCGAAGTCCAGCCTACGGCGGGCTCACTCTAGTGGGCCCGATCGAGGGGACTACGGACGCGGCCTGAGGACGCCACGGTAGGCTCGGACCTCGGCTCAGGCCGTCGCCGATTGGTTCGTGTGTCACCCTGTGTGTCCACGCGCACTGTGAGACCTCATAGTAATATTTGTGAATACGGGCGTAAGGCTAGGTGTCACGCACCTATTATAGCTGCCGTGGTGCGGGTTGGCGGCGGCGAGCACGGTGGCTCGCGCGGCGAGACTGCACACTACTCCGCCTTTGGCCACGCTCACGCGACGCTGCTCCATCGCTTCTAGTAGACTGCTGTGGTGGGCTGACATCTGTTGAGTACCACCAGAATAAATACAAATGAGTAGGTCATCTTCATAGAAACGCACCGAGCGCGGTTTGTATGTAAGCGCGCCAATACGTATGCGGCGCGCACGCACACACTGAAAAAATTTAACGTGGATCAGCGGGGAGTTGCGCCGAATTACAAACCGCGCTCGGTGCGTTTCTATGAAGGTGACCTACTCATTTGTATTTACTCTGGTACCACTACTTATTAGAAACTACTCTTAGTCTTAAAGTGACACATCTTTTTAGGAGTCACGAGATAACACTAAAAACAAAATACTGGAAAACACAAAATAAACAATAAAAACTGTGAACATCTGGATATGACCCGGAGGGAGATCAAAGAAAGTAACCTCACATGAAATCTGGACATAAGACTTAATAACTATCAGGAAATGACCATAGAATCAAATCTAGTTAGTCACAGTAAAAGAGGGCTTTCGGCATTTGAAAATAGTAAAAAAAAATTTCTCCAGCTGATTCATGACTAACGCCCGTATTCACAAACGATAGGTACTTGCTTAAGTGAAGCAGCAAATCGAACGCACAGCGTTGAATAGAGCTCTGTGATTGGTTCGTGTCACCCTGTGCGTCCACGCGCACTGTGAGACCTCATGGTAATTTTTGTGAATACGGGCGTAAATCTGAAGCAATCTAAAGACTGGTCCGTGAGCACGTAGAATCCCGTCCAATGAACCCAAGCTGCCCATCCTTGTCGCTCGCACGTAATTATGTTGCTGTCGCGCTCGTACACTCACTGCGGGCGCGCATCACACAGTCGCGACAGCAATATAATTACGCGCGAGCGATAAGGATGGGTAGCTTAGGGTCATTGGACGGGATTCTACGTGCTCACGGGTCCGTGCCGTGTTACTAAAGCCTGGTCAGGCTTTAGTACATTCCTCACCTTATCAAGCTCGTCCACGCAGCACACTCCCTGATCAGCTAGTACCAAGGCTCCCGCTTCAAGGGCGAAGTCTCCGCCCGCCTCGCGGCCTAAGGCCACTGTGAGCCCGCCAGCCGATGCTGACGCGCCGCAAACGTACACCCCTTGAAGAAATATTTTGTTTAGGGTCATCAGGTTTGATATCGCCAGCCCTTGATGAGTGTAATGTAGAGGACTTCAGCGTCCCATTTTCATATGAGTTAAGTACTACATCGTGCTAAGTTCTGATGCCACTTGTCATATGGAACCTAAAGCGACCGCTATTCACACTCTACTAGGAGTCTGGAGTAGCACTGATTTATCAATATAATCTTAGCTGATTACAGTCTAATGCTGGATGTAACCTACCCCAAAGTAATCTTTATTTCAGCCTAGATTGCTGTCCCTTGCTGGACTAAAGCCTTCAATAGAACAATCTTCCCCTTTTTTTATCGATCCTATACCACTTGAAGTTGTCGGCCTATCAACTGGAGTGCGACAACA